CGACTGGCGCCTTCTCTCCCCGTGGTGGTCGCCGTGGGTGCACCCACACCGATCGATCCCCTTCACAGGCTGGCTGCTCAGGGCTCCGCTGTGCCCCTTCTCCAGAGACTTGCCCTGAGGCGAGGGGAGTCCCTTCACCCCCAGATGCCCAGGAAGTTATCACCCCCACCCCCCAGAAGTGACCCGCAGCCAACAGTGGATAGGTGCAAAAAAATTCACAAAAGCCCAGCCCCTTCTGCAAGGAGGGACACATCCGCAGGTCCGCACGCCTGCCAGAGCACCAGTTCAGAACTCTCTGGATAGAAAGAGCAAGAACGAGCTGCGCTGCCTCCCAGGTAGGCGGGTGGGTGCTGTGGAGGAAGCAGGGGCCGGGGGCTGGTCCGGGCTCCAGCAGTTCCTAGTGCTACAACTTAGGGAGTTCACTATACATTTCTAGGCTTCTTTCCTGATTTGTAGGAAGTGGGTCGTAATTCCCACTTTGTTGCTTCGGTGTGGCAATGCCAGAGCAGTGGCGAAGTCCCTGCAATGGCGTGTGGTGCACAAGATGACGCTGTAAGCGTGGCTGCCCCTTCCCTTCTCTCCAGGAGGAGGAAGACCAAGGGGGGGGCAGCCGGCGGGGAGGCTGGCTGGTTCAGGAACCATGCCCTCTTTGGCCTGTGGTCCCAAACCACCTGTCAATGGAAACTTATGATGCCCCACTTTTGGTTTGGAGGCCATCGTGTCTGAGCACTGGGTGGCCAAGAGGCCCCTGGGCCACGAAAGGCCCGCCAGGGTCTCTGGTGGACTTTTCCACGTGGCCCCCAACCTCCTGCAGCTCACACCACTGGGCCGTTGCTCCCAGCAGCCTCAGGCCACCGATCAGGAAACCCCAAGCCAAGGCAGGGGACACAGTAAGAATGATGGCAGCTCCACTCAGTCAAGAGGCCCCCCCAGCACATCACAGGCCCCCCTTTCCAGTACCTGCTGCAGAGGAAAGGGCACAGAGGCCACTCGGGCAAACTTCTACTTTGGGCGCTACAGGCAGGCCACCCCACCCGAAACAGACTTGATCCAAGGGCTGAGGCTAGGCTCACGCGTATGGTTTCCAGCTCTTGTCCCTTGCTGCGTTCTTCCCATGTCACAATCCCATGTGTCCTGGGACAAAAGCGGATGGCCAGCATGGGGCCGGAAGAAGGCTGGGAGCTTCCCGAACCCTTATCAGACTGTTTGTGGCCTGGGCCACTCCGCAAGGAAAAGAGGATCCCCAGCACCAAGGAATCATGGACGCAGGTAATGCAAAGGTTTCAGGACAGGACACCTCAGGAGGTGAAAATACCAAATAATAGGGCTGATTCTACCCAATGGGATTAAAATTCCTCCAAGTTTACTGCTTAAATCTTTTTCCTCAACAGGCCTGGGATACAGTATTTTTCTAAATGTTCTGTTCGGTTCTGAGCAAAGATAATCCCATTCTAGACCATTAGCCTATTTTTACTCAGGCAAGATTACTCATAATGAGCCATTCTCTTTCAGTGAGAGATTATGTGCCACGTGCTTTACACACATTCTCTTACTTTAATCCTCATACCCCAAGGCATGGTTTTTACTCCTGTTTTAGCGTTGAGAAAACAAAGGTTCACTGAGGTTTCAAGTGACATAGTCACTTGGTCACATAGTCACAGAACCTTGCTCTGGCTGACTCCGGAGCTCACGCTCTTGGCTGCCATATTGGTTTATCCACGGAGGACAGGAGAGTTCCATGAAGGGAATGTTACCTCCTGTTCTTCTGTCCTCGGGCTGCAAGATTTTGAGGCTGAGAGATGCTCAGGAGGGTCGCACACCTGCCCACACTGAGTGGCTGCAAACACCAGTTTCATGGGGCTGCTTTTTGCTTCTTTAGATTCTACTGCATACAACAAAGAGCCTATGTTTTCCTAGTTGGGGCACATCCCAACGGGCAACTTGCTACTGTGGGAGAAAAAAAAAAAAAAAGAAAAAGCAAGGGGAACAGGCCTTTAGCTCACTTGGATCTTCACAAAATTGTACATTTTGATCTCTTCCCCCCCATTACTGAAATACCACATGGCCAATACAAGTTGGAATATGCAAAAAAAAAAAAAAAAAAGTAAACAGAAGGAAAAAATTACTCATAGGACTCTCCCCCAATGATTTGTGGGCAGATTTCCTTCTCTCTCTGTAAGGGTTGGAATTTTAAAAAAATTATGGTCAGGATCACATTGCATAAATATACTGATTTATTCATGAGAAAAATGTCATATTACATGGTTTTTTAAATAAACCATCTTTGGCTGGCTACTTCATCTTCCATTGATTGGCTACACCCTATTTTCCTTAACCAGCTCCCTAAGGGTGTGTCATTAGGTTGGGCTGAAGCATGTCTAAGCCTTTGCTCAGCTCATTTATTGTTTTAGGGGCTCAGAGATCAATTTCATTTTTCTTGGCAGACAGTTGGCACCTAATGTAGGGGCATCTGCCTGCCGTGGGGCTTCCCAGGCGCCGCTTTCCCTATGTGCAAACTCTCTTCACTCAACGCCCTGCCATCGCCCGTGAACCTGGGCATTCCACCGATTTGGCAATGACCTCTGCCTCCAGCCCTATGGAACCCACACTGTGCTCTCGGACCAGCACCCACCACCTGTGCCGGCACCGAGGCCAGCGTCGTGGCTCCCCGGCTTTACAGAGGCGAGGCCTTCACAGGAGGAGAGGGCAGGCCAGACTTTGCTCAGAAAGCCAACTTTTGGCCAACGTCTCCATTTCCTGACTATGGCACTTCGGGCCAAGACGGGCAATTACAGGGGGGGCGGGGGGCCGGGCCAACACGGCAGGGTGGCGTCAGGGGATTCGGAGGCCAGAAGATGTGGGTTTCGATCCCAGTTCTACTTTTCTGCTGTGGAAACTGAGCAAATCACTGAACCTTAGAGCCTGGGTTTCTTTGTATTTATGAGAGGATAATTCCTTCCCTGTAGGGTTTTTGTGGGAGTTACATGACATAATGCAAGTGAACTTGTTGAGTCTGGTTTTTGACCTAATCAAGGCAGTTAATAAAGGATTGAGATCATTCCCCACCCCACCTCCCTACCCCCAGGGATTAGCATTCTGTTCCATTGTTCTTTATACCAACCGTCTCTAGTAGTACCAAGGAGCTCTTGTTTTCAAAAAAAAAAAAAAAGTTCTCCAAAACCAAGGCTGGTTAGTCCAGTAGCCTTGAGGTTTTAATGGCCCATTGCTCTGGCCAGATTATGTGCAGATAAAGGGCTCCCTGCCCTTATCCTGTTGGTGGGTTCAAGGCCACTCAGCTTACTTTAGGAAGAAACAGGACAATCAGGCAAAAGCACTCACGGCTCCCTCCCTATATCAAATATCCGCGTCCACTTGCTTATATTGAATCCACAAGGAATGGGGCTGTGTATACCCAAGTGGGCTCCGGGAGCATCTTAAGTACCTGCTGGAGAGTTCTGGCCCCTGCCTCCCATTCTGGGCCTGGTCTTTCCCAGCGCTGCTCCTACGTGCTTGGGTCCCACACCAGACTCATCCCCGTGAGGCGGGAGAGAGGGAGAGGAAGGACTAGTTAGACATTATGGTTCAAATCCATCAATTAACCCAGTGGTTCTCACACTTTGCTGCCCATTAGACTCACCCATGCAGCTTGTAAGGGTCCCTGATGCCCAAACACACCCTAGATCAATTACATCAGAATTTCTGGGCATGGGGACCAGGCATGGTATCAAGTTGAGCCACATTTGAGATCCAGTAACTTAACCGCTGTGGCTAACGAGCCTGAACCAGGGTTGTCTACCACGTTCTGTAAGTCCTCCACACACCTCACTTTATGACTTTCCGTGTGCTTCTGATGATGATGGAACACCTCGATCTGTTCCTGATTAACTCCTAGAATGGGAAATATGGAGGCTATTCCAAGATCACACACGACACATATTTTACTGCATTAAAAAAAGTCATCTGTTAGCTGCTCGACTATAGACACATCTGAGGCTACTTCAGAAAAACGGCATCAGAAAACAAACAGCCTTTCAGTAGCACAGAATGGCTAGATTCTCCTCCACTGCCCCATTAAGTATTAATCAGTGGCTCAGGCCAGTTCTGGGAAGAGCACCTAATTGCTGGCTTCATGGAAAACCAGATGACCCTAATGCACCGACAACGGGGGTCCGCTCCCGGCCCCTCCTGGGCAGCCAGGCGGCGGTGGCTTGAACACAGAGGCAGCACCTGGTGGCACCGGCCCCCTTGGCCACAGGGAGCTCACTCAAGCGAACGCCCGGCTCTGGGGCCACACCCACGGCGGGGCCGTCTGGGGTCCACCTGAGCAGCCTCCCCGCGGGGCTGTGGTGCACCCCGGGACTGGTTCCAGCTGAACTCGGAACCAGCGTGGTTCTGCTTCACTACACAGCACACTGACACCCCGAGGGAGTGGTTAGGAAGAGCCCATGTGTCGGCATCCGCGCAGGCCCACAGTGGGAACAACTGCGGAGGGACAGGCCCCGCCTGCCTTCGGGTTCGGAGCAGCTTCTGCAGACCGCGGTGGGCCCCGCCATATACTGGATATTTGGACATGACCCACATGGCTCCTCCGTCCAGCCTGAAAGAGAGGAGACCACCTGCCACGATGCCCAGGCTGTCACCCGTCCAACATTGGCTGTCCACGCTGCTCCTGTGCAGTGTGTGGGTCCTCAGTTTACCCTCATGTTCCTGGAGTGTGCAATTTCTAGGAGTCAGAGCTCCCAGGCTGCTCGAGAGGCACCCCGTTCATTCTCACTTGCTTCTCTTCTCACCTTCCTGCAGACACCCAGGGGACACCCAGCAGTTCCTCTGGTGGCCTCACACGCCTCAACCGGCTTCCTCCACCTGCAGCGGCTGCCGGAGCCCTCCACCTCTGCCCACACCCACCCTCACCCCTGCACCGGGCCCCACCGCACTGCCCAAGCCCACCCAACCCACCACGAAGGTAAACATTCAAGACGTTGGTCGCTTCCCTGGGCCAGCACATTCCTCCTTCCTCAGCCCACCCCCCGCAGTCAGTCCTGCACCAGGAAGTTGATGAGGGCCGTTCTGGGGGACAGGAAAGCCTTCTTGATGCTTCGCCCCTGCAAGAGTCTGACACCCAGCTCGCTTTGGAGGATGAGCTCATGGACTTTGTCCTGGTCCCGTGCGACTCCCTGCGGCACAGGGATCTTGCCGCAGGCTTTGTTGTTGATCTGAGGAGGAGGAAATCGAGACAAACAATGAGGAGCATCCTGAGGGTGACAGGGGGCCCCATACCAACGTCCGCGGGAAGCAGGAAGATGCGGCACCAGCTTCCCCAGAGGACAGAGGGCAGGCAGGGAGGATAGGATTAATGCCCAAAAACCACAGACTGGGAGAGAGGATGGGGCACCACACCTGGAGCGCGCCCCTGCTGGAAGTTAGGTCAAAACCCTCAGTGGCCTCCAGGGGGAGAGGGACGGCTGTGTCATTAAGGGATCAAGTTGAAGTTCCGCTCACAGCGAGTGTCACTGAGGATTTTACCCAGGTCTTGGGGGGTGACCGGCTCCTGTGGAAGGCAGGCAACCTCCCTGCCAGGGGCTGGACTCCAGAACGCGGTGCCCAAGCATGGGGACCGGGAAACTGTACGCACATCACTTTAACTCAGCCTTGCCGAGAACGGGCCGGTCCAGTTCCAGATGTCAGTGGCTATTCACTGAGTACCGCTCAATAAGGACATGCTTCACAGCAAATGTGAACCGGTATCAGCTTGGCGGGGAGGTGCTCCCAATGGCCCACATGGCTTCTGAGCAGCTGTGCTTCAAATCCTCCAGCCCACCGCTCCCCTAAGGACTCTTTCACTAACGCTCCTGTTTTTTTTACTCCGTATTATGAAAAGTTACCAGGAATAATTTCTCAGGTTGCAACCAAAGCCTATCAGGTGTCCCTCATTCTTTTTATTTTTTTTCAGATGTATGTCGAACTCAGGGGCATTTTTCTTGGTTGCATCAACAACCTACGTCACTGGGTGGGAGCCAAAGATGGTAACACACTGTGTCCTGAAATATTCTAGAAAATGGTTCTTCTAAAAAGTGTGAGTCTCCTGGACGCAGGGGTTTGGTGTCCTAAAGCTGTGGGACTAGGGCTGCTGTTCCCTCCCCGCCCGCGCCATCTTGTTTCTAAGCCACTGGAAGCCGCCTTCTTTCACGACCACAGGCTTGCGTTGACCAAGACCTCGGAAAGAACTCCCATCCTGTCACACCAAAACCGCACCCTTCATGAAGTCCTGGGGGTCCCAAACACGGCAGTCTCAGAACTGGTTCTTGTTCATGAGTCACGGCTCCAGTCTCAGTTCTCACCCAGGGAAGAGTGGCCCAGGGCTAGGGCTCCCCCGGCCACTTGCCGTGGTGGGGTGCTGGGGGAGAGAGCCCGTGCTCTTGTGCAGACTCTTAGGCTTGGACTTCAGTTTTCTCTTCTTTAAGGATGGATCCCTCTGGATTGTTGAGGGAGAAAACCTGTCTGAAGGGACCAGCTCACTAGGCCTTACACCCCCTTGTCCCCTGGCCTTTGTCGGGACTCCCGGCCAGGATGGACAGAGCCAGTGTGGGATGTCCTGTTCAATACATGGCCTCAGCACCATGACCCAAAATACTTCTAGACCCAGTGCTTCCCTGGAGCCTGGGGGCTGGCCCTCAGCTGTCCTTGGTGAGGCCTGTCCAGGGAGCTGAGTCATTCTTGACCCCACAGCTGGGGCAGGGGTGGGGCTCGTGACCTCTGGATGTGGCCAGGAAGCCCAACGGGCCTTCCCACGCGGCCCCCTGGGCACCCTCTCCTGGCTTCTGGCTCCTGGGACTCCCCTGAGTTGCCTTACCCAGGGCAGTCCCTTCAGAGTGAGTGGGTCTCCATCACACTCCACCTCCTGACACGAGGCACCAGTTAAATGGGCAACAGAAGCCCAGGTGGGATTCCACACTGGACCTGGCCTTCAGGGGCCTAAAGGGGAAGCAGCTCTTTCAAATCACCTCAAATAGTGGCCATTTGACTTGAGAAAAGTCTTCCAGTCCCCATTTGGTGGCCCTGCAAGCTTCCATTTTTGCTACCTTCCCTCACTACTCACAGCCTCGGTCTAGGGCCTCAGCATCATTCTCCCGGACTTTTCCAACTGCTGCCTCACAGGCCCCTGGCCGTGAGCCCTGCCCCTGTCCCACCCATGGCCACGCAGTGACATGTCATAGCTAGGAACAATGAAAGCGCCCGCTGACTGAGCTCTCGCTCCGTGACAGGTGCGGAGCCACGCAATCCACCTAAGCCAACCTGTTTCTCCTCCCATAGCCCCATGAGGGACATGCATGACCACTCGGTGCCCATTTTACAGCCGGGGAAGCCAAGGCACACGAGGTGAGGCCAGTTCACCCAGCAAGCGGTGGAGACAGGAGGACCTCCTGGGTCCGCTCCTCCCCCCTGATCAGATGCCCTGCCAGCCCCCAACCCTCTCGGGGCTGGGGCCTGGCCTTCTCCCCAGCGGCACCCTGCCCATGCCCAAGTTCTAGCCTCGCCACGGCTCACAGACCCAACATCACTGAGGGCTTTCTCTGCCTTTGCTCCCGGCGATCAGGCATTCTCTTCCACCAGGGAAACACTGCTCCTCTTTCGAGCCCAGGCCCCACGCCCCCTTGCAGCCATGCCCGGCTGCCAGAAGCAGCGATGTCCACACCAGCAGCTATCGGCACCTGCTATCTCCCCGGGGGGTCAGGCCCCCTTCTGTTGCCGTTCCCTCACCTGTAAAATGGACTTGGTCACACAGCTGCCTCGTCTGTGACATGGGTAAACCTGGGCCCACTCCCAGGGCTGTCGTGCAGGGTAAACGAGTCAGTATCGGGAAAGTTCTTAGGGCAGCGCCCAGCCCTTAGTCGGCGCTCACTACTTGTCAGTGGGTTTTGTCATTAGTGCGTCCAGAAGCAGGCTAAGCACTGCCTGGCATTATCCAATCTAATTCTTTCCATGACAGGCAAAGCGAGGCACTGAGTTCGCCCCCTTTCGTTGTTGAGAAAACAGAGGCCTACAGAACTATTCTGTGACACGAAGACTTCCAAGCAGGATGGTCTCACTCCCAAGCTCTATGCCTTAACCTGGAGGCTACAGAAACTCCCTGTGTGCGTGGCAGTCGTGGGCCCCTCAAGATGGTCCCTCCTGGGCACTGAGCTGCTTGAATCTAAGGCGGTGCCTCTGGGCTGGGGATTCCCGGTGTTGGGCCCAGCCCTGCATACTACGGGCGTGGCGGGCCTGAACCACGCTGAAGGACACTATGCTGTCACCGCATCTGCTATTTCTGGCCAGGGCCCCAACTGAGGTCACACGGACACAGAACACAGGCCCCCACGGAAGTTCCACCACGTGACACAGTGCCCTGAGTCGGAAGTTCTCCAGTCGGGTAACCTGCAGGGAGTCCTACTCCCATCTTAAGCTTTGGGTTTTCACTCCCACGGTAATTTAAAACCATTTTACCAATGACCGACCAGAACTAGATGTCTTTTCTACAGTGATTAAAGTGGAATGGTATTGTATAGACTCAAACTTCGGTTTCTCAAGTTGGCACTTCTTCGTGCTGAGGACAAGTTCTCAGGGGTACACGTGGGGGAAGCAAAGTGGGGTTGGGGGGGAACTAGGTGCCAGGGGAGGTGGTGTGGAGACAGAGTGGCTAGGAAGGGGCCGGGTCTCCTGCACGGAGCCGTCTTTCCAAACACCGACCTGCTGGTTGGGCCCATGGTTTGCACAGATGCAGAAGAGCTGGGGCCTGGCCGACTGGGCCCCTGTGAGGCTGGGCTCTCCCTCAGCTCCTGGGTGGTGTGTTCATGGCCCTTTTCACCATTTGCAGTGATTTTATTTATTTTTCTTTCCTTTTCCCGATCTCTCCCACTCGGCTTTCAGCTCCACCAGGGCGGGGACCCTGTCTGTCCCGTTCGGTTTTGTACCCCCAGAGCCCACCACTGTGCCTCACCCACAGCAGGTAACTCGATCATTACTGACGAATGAGCAAATAAACTTGGGCAAGGTGACCAACTTTTCCGAACCTCATTTCTCAACTGGAATCAATGAGAATGGAAATGCCTATTTGACAGAGTGATAAGAGCGTAATGAAATCTTGGATGTGAATGACCTGGCCCCATGTGTGGTTCAGAGACGTGCCAAGAGGCCCCCCGTTCCTCTTTCCCTCTTCAGCCACATCAGCATTAAGTATTCCTTATAATGTGTTTCAGAGCAAACACATTAAATATGTAAAAATTACATAAAGGATAAACTATCTGAGTTATTTGCTCTGTAAAAGGTTGAAATAAAAAACTACTTTTATGTATCTACAATGATGCAATTTACCAAAAAAGAAAAAAGAAAAGAAAAGAAAAGAAAGAAACGTTATGTAGCCTTTCTGAAATAGCTTTTTTGGGGAGGTGCTCCCGCTCTGCCAACCTGCTCACCATCACCCTCCTCCCTAAATCAACCAGGAGCCGCCAAGGAGACTGCGACACCGCGGGAGGGCAAGGCGATCAGAACCTATAAAGCAGGACAAGGTTATGTGGTCCACCTTCTCATCCCTTGAGGGCCGTGAGCGCTTGATGCTCACAAGCTCGTGGTGTGTGGTGACCTCAAAGCTAAAGCATAAGATGGGTGGGACGGTCAGGCCGAGTCAGGCTGGGTGGGCCAGAAAGGCCCGACGACCTGCCCCAGTCAGGTTCACCTCCGGCTCTGGGGCTGCAGGAGACACTCACCAGGACGGCCATCTCCACCACGTCGGGCTGCTGGAGGAACTGTGGGTCCACGGCTGGCCACGCCTGAAGCAGCACACCGGCGTCCCAGGCGTAGTGGGCACACAGCTTCCCGGGCACCTGCGCCAGGCCTGCAACGTCAAGGCACAGAGAGTCACGGGGCACACGCGAGGCTTATGGAAGCAGGGTACACTGCTTTCACCCCAATGCAGCCTGGCTTGGAGCTGCCTGATGCCGCACCTCGGCTTTACACAGCTTACCGGGGGCCCCCCCACTTACTTTAGCCTGGTTTATCATCCTGGGCTGATAGGTAGCCCCCCCTTTTTAAATAGTACCCAGAGCTGTACAGATGGATGGACACTTTGTTCTAAAGTGTGCATTTACAAGGGCGCCTGAGTGGCTCAGTCGGTTAAGCGTCTGCCTTCAGCTCAGGTCATCATCCAAGGGTCCTGGGATCGAGCCCCGCATCGGGCTCCCTGCTCTGTGGGAAGCCTGCTTCTCCCTCTCCCTTTACTGTTCCCCCTGCTTGTGCTTTCTCGCTCTCTCTATCGAATAAATACATAAAGTGTGCATTTGGAAAAAACAAGGCTACTGATTTTCCTTGGTCTCTGCAGTTCTGTTGCTGAAGGAACGCCTTTGTGCTCCTGAGAGCGGATCCCAAAATAATGAGCCGTGCTCATTTCCTTTCCTGCCTGTGAATACTTGTGTTCTGCGAGGGCCTCCTACCCGGTCCCATTACTCATGATCACTGGAGCCAACATGCCGAGAACAGCTGGGTGCTCCTTCTCCACCTTCTCAGAAGGATCTCAGCCTTCACGCTACACTTCTTCTCGAGAGGCGCTCCTGCCAACGACTGAATTGGAAAGAGCTGGCCTTGGTTCAGGATGGGTCAAACGCGAGGAAGCAGTGAGGAAGGAAACTCCCCCCAGTCTTGCGTCCTAGAGTGCTTCATGCTGTAACCCCAAAGCCGAGGCAGCTGGGCTCAGTGCCCACAGGGCTGGACGGGGACTGCAGCCAAGGTAGGGCTACTCGCAGGAAAAGCTTTGACTGCAAAGCCTCTGCCGATCTCATGAGCACAAGAGGTGCCCCCAAACGCGCAGGAAATACACACATCAGAAAACAGAGCCCGGGGTGCTACCAGCATGGCCACATCCCCCCTGGCTCCTCATCCCCCCAGAGGAGGGCCCTGGGGGGCAGTGAACGTGGCGGTGTGCCCACGCTGGGGTGGAGCTGTGGCCGCTGCAGGGCCTTCGTGCTGTGGATGGCTTGTCCAGGGGAGCCGGAGGGGGGTAGCCCTTGCACACCTCCTCCTTACTATTAGCACTGAGCCCAGGAGATGCATTTGAGGGATGGGCCCATGCCTCAGGGGTGGTCTGAAGCCAACTTGCCAGATGGAGGGAATGAATCCCACCAACACCAACACCAGTGCCTGGAACACTGGGCTGGACTGACAACGTTTTATCTTCCTTGAGGGCAAAGTAATGCGTGATCCTTGCAGAGAATTTGTAAAAGGTCAAACTAGAGAGAAGAAAATCATGTTCATCTGCACAGGACTTTTTAAACTTTTGATTTTATTTTTAAGGATTTTATTTATTTATTTTGAGAGAGACTGAGTGAACAGAGGGAGAGAGAGAATCTCAAGCAGATTCCACGTGGGGCTCGATCCCACGACCCTGAGATCATGACCTGAGCTGAAATCCAGAGTCGGACGCTTAACCGACTAAGCCACCCAGGCGCCCCTAAACTTGATTTTGAAGAATAGTAATGTAATGAATTTAATGAATAGTATATAAACCAACCCCACCAAACCAAACCACTACCACCAAGATCATGCTATATATGTAGCTTCATATTCCCTTTGTTTCATTATTTTAAAATAATAATTAATTTCACGGAAAAGCATGATACACAATAGTATGTATCGCATGACTCTAGTTTTATTAAATATTTCTATGCACAGATAAAAGGTCAGAGGGAATAAAGCAGAAGAGCAGCGGTGATTCTATCCAGGAGGTGGGAGCATAGGTAACTCTTTTAATGCTTTATCAATTCTCTACAAAAAGCGTTTATTACTTTGGTAATTTGAAAGGATATTTGAACTCAAGTTTTCCCACACTGGGAGATGGGTTCAATATTTTTCTTCTGGTTTCTTTGGAAGGTTACACTTTGTTCCCCATTTTCACTTTTGAATCCAGCTCTACTTCATTTTGTGTGTAAAGTGAAGGAGCATTCGGGGCGCCTGGGTGGCTCAGTCGGTTAAGTGTCTGCCTTCAGCTCGAGTCATGATCCCAGGGTTCTGGGACCGAGCCCCGCATCGGGCTCCCTGCTCAGTGGGAAGCCTGCTTCTCCCTCTGCCCCTTCTCCTTCCCAGGCCCCACCCCCAGCTTGTTTTCTCTCCGATAAATAAAATCTTAAAGTACAGGAGCATCACGTGGTCAATTCTCCAAACCTAATTCGGAGCATAAACCTCTTCCCTGTCGGTTTGTGATGTTTCTTTTACACCATGCTGTACTAGGGATGGTTTCAGGACCATCCAAAGCTACTCCACGAAGCTGCTCAAAGTGGCCGTCTGCAATGCGTGGAAGCACAGGCCGGAAGGTGGTGGTCACACCGCTTTCCTGACAGTTTTGCTGCTCAAAAACCGGTCAGCCCCTCTCGGACGTGTGCTCGGTGACACAGCTGGTCTGCGTTCTAAGCTCCAGCTGTTTATGTCGCTGGCAGATGGCTACAGCCAGTTCCAGGACCGGTCTCGGGTCCGCGGCCCACTCTGAGCAGCACCTCTGTCTTGATCCCCGTCTCACAGATGTAGTAGGTGTTGCACGCTCCCACAGATGTAGGTGTTGCACGCTCTACATTTTTCTCTCTGGTGCTCTCGCTGTAAGCCTGGGCTGCTGGTCAGTCTGAGGGAAGGGAAGGCCCGTCCGCGTCTGTGGACCAAGTGTTGTCAGAGCTGTATTCCTGGGGCCCTGCTGGCCCCTGTACCCTGGGCTTCCAGCACTTACTGACGGACCTGCTCCACCGCTAACAGATGGGCCGTTTGACAGGAGCCGAAAGGAGCTTCCTGCTCGTTCCTCAGAAGGGGTACTATTAAGACTCTTGTCTAAATACAAGACAGAGGTCACAGAAGGGAGATGATCATTTCGTTACTTTAGCAGGCTGGCCCCATATGGCTGGTCCTGTGACCCAGCTGCAGTGGGAAGGATTCCAGAACCTTCGCATGGTAGTCGTACAGGATGCCCGGGAGATGAAAGGGCCTTGGACACAAATGTTCTGGGCAGAAGCTGTTGCAAATTCCACTTAAAAAAAAAAAAAAAAAATGAGGAAGCCCGGCCTTCCTGGAGCAGCCTGGGTCCCCACCAGAGTTTCTACACAGACGGGAGTGGGGCCATCCTGCTCAGCGCGGCGGGACAGAAACTCACGGCTGTGGGTTCTCCGCCGTGTTTTTGCCTCCCTACTCCTTAGGGAAGTACAAAGACCTAACGTTTGCATAGCAAATAGGATGGTTTCTTTACAGAACACATGCCAGGTCGAGAGCTGGCCTTTGGGCAGCACCTGGAGAAAGTCTGCACACGGGCTGGGACGTGCCAGAGCCCTGGCATGCAAGGCCACCGCGCAGGGCCGGCTGTCGCCTGTGGCCCACCCCCCTCCTGCCCCTCCTCTGGGAGAGCCGTTGTTGCTGACCTTCCTTCGAAATGACTGCAACAACCCACGCAAGCTCCTCACATGGTCTGAGAGCTGGGGAGGTCACCATGCCCCCGGGGCGCCCGGGAGTGGGTCCTGGGGTGGGCAGCCTCTCTTGCTGGCCACCATCAGACCTGCTCCACCCCCCACCCCTGTGCTCACACACACACACGAGGCTGGACTTGGGGACTCCGTGGCCTCTGAGGCCCACTGAGCCTCATCCAGCCCTGGTGATTCCAAGAAAATGGATAGGATGGGATGCCAGTTCATTTTAGCCTTTACCCACTGAAGGAATTCCACTGACGTTATTTTGAGCTAACAACACCGATGCCGCACACATATTTGTACGGAAAACGCCATCAGAACGTCAGTGAGAACTTCTCCTCTACAATGGTCGCACACACACCCCTACATGATTTGTATGTTTGTAATTGTGTTGAAATTAAGGGATACAGCGCCTATGTATAGCAAAACACTAAGCTATGCTATTTTGCAGCCGTTTTCATTTTACGAAGAAAAATGGATTCGTGGCGGCAGCCTGATGCTTCAGGATTACACGTCTGTTCCGAATGCCTGGGGGGCATGGGGTCCCCCTTGCTGTCACCTCACGATTACGGTGCTGATGGGAGACCCGGAGCTCCCACGAGGTAAAGCCTGGAATCCAGAAGGGAAAGAATCGCCGCACAGCCATAAGGGTGGCCGGAAAGCAGAAACGTTCACAGGAGGTCATAAAGAAATGTGACCCCTCTGCCTGCCTCCCCGGGTGGTCACCTGTAAACCAGGACACTGAGAAGGGTACAATCTACAGAGCTTACACAGATCTCATCAGTTGTTATAAGCACTAGCACGACAAGTGGGCAGCTTCACGTAACCTTCGCCACAGTCAAGATCCAGGGCTGCTCGGCCACCACTGGGCTCCTCGTGGTCCCCTCTATATGGCCACTGCCCCCTCTGCCCAGTCCCTAAGCCCTGGAGACCACTGATGTGTTTTCTATCTCTATAATTTGGTTATTTCAAGAATGTTACATAAATGGAATCATAGAGTATATAACCTTTGGAGACTGACTTTTTTTCACGCAGCATAATCCCCCTGGGATCCATCCACACTGTTGTCTTTTTGACGATGATGAAATTACACCTCCAACCAGAGTACCACCGAGAAGCTCCCTGTCCGGTGATTTTCTACTCTTTTACTGTCCACCAACAAAGGAAACCTTGTGTCCTTTGTCTGGAAACAGTATCAGTGACTCCAAACACACAAAATTTCCCTAAGCGAGCAGCTAACACCCTCAGCTGGGGAGCACAATACTCTATTATGGTACACAAAAGTTAACTGTGTGGATTCAGATGTGGTGCCTTGAGCTTCTCAGATCCAAAACTTCAGGAAGGAAAAAAGATTTCCTCATCCTGTTGCAGTTTACCAACTGCCAAGACGTTGGTTCTGTTTCTT